AGGTTTCACACACTTTTGTTATAACCAAAATATTATAGCAGAGGGTACCTAAGGCTTATTACATCAGACTAACAAGCTCCCTTTGTAAAATCGATGACAGATAACAGATTCAAAATATAGAATTTCATGAACACAATGGTGGTTTCTACGTAAAGTCTTGGATGTCCCCCAGCCCCATTCCCCGGTATATTCTCTCCTTTGTTCCTTCTTCACATCCAATCTCTAGACTCCAATTTTGGGCCTTTGGCTACCTTATGTTCACCTACTTCCTTGAGATAAAAGGCTTGTAGATCAGCTCCCATCTTCCTGTTGCTTAAAATCACTCTGTTTGGGTGGGTCAGCACTTAGTTTTAATGCTGATCTTCCGTCTGTGTCTGAGATCACAGCATCTCCCCGTGTACAATGTTATTTAATCAAGTCCAGACTCCTCGCGAAACGGCCCTTAACTGTTCCTGTTTATCCCTCTTATTTTAGTTCATTTTATGCCGCTTCAAACACAACTGCCACTCACCCAGGTCCATTAATGGAAAATAAAGGTCATGGCTGGGGACGCCAATCATCACCTCCGCAGACTTCCACCCAGGCTTTGTGCATGCGTGTGTCAATCTTTTCAATTTTCTTCCTGATTTAGTGGAAGCAATCAGAACAGAATTGGCCCCGAGTGTTGGCTGCAAAGCTTCCTCAAGGAAATGTACCAACAGGCAGGCCGCTGGCTGGCTGGACCCTATGAGCGCGCTCGCCAGAACGCATTGACAACAGCGCGGGCCTGCCCCCCAGTCTCACAGATGAAAATCCCTCTTCGGAAAATGCGTCTTGGGCTGTCTATGCGGGCAGTTGGTGTCTGTCTGTGCCCTGGTGCTGCTTTCTCTGCAGACCTCCCCTCCCCCAGGGCCTCTATCTGTACATATGCTTCCTGATGTGATATCCTACTGTGTGTAGTAGAGCATAACAGTTAGGAAGAGGCACACACTTTCAAATCCAACTACTCCTGCCACTTCTTAATTGGGCGGTCCTGAGTATATTTTATATAAACTCTCCGGGTCCCCATTTATTTGTCTGCAAAGTGAAGATAATTAAAGGACTTGTTTCAGAGGCCTCTCAGGGGGATCAATGAGATCAGCTGTAGCAAGTTCTCAGTACAGCAGAAAGTGCAAGACTCATCTTGCATTCTGTTATGTATTAATCCAGTTTGTTATTTATTCATCCAAGTGTCCAAGCTCCAACCTTCAGAGTCTTGGTCAATATCACTTCTCTCCTCATTCCTACTCTCTGTGTCTCACTGGCCTCTCCTCCTGTTCATTGTCTCACAGAAAATCTCTAGGGCCCACCCCCTTCTGTCTCTTCCTGCTGCCATTGGTTCATTTGGGCCTCACCTATCTCTGTGGTCCTGCCTCCATCCTCCACCGCCCAGTCCCTTTTATCTTTCCTGAGGGCATCCGAGTTGTTTTCCCTAAGTACTTTCTCAGTGTGAGATTTCAGTAGGAGAATTTCAAGGCACTCTATTCATTGTGATTTTGATAAAATGCTCCCCTGCCCCAGTTTTTATCTTCATGGGTCTTTTTGTTCACACTGTCTCATTATCTCAAGCCTGGTTCCATGCTAGTCCATCATCTTGGCATTGCTAGTTTGATATAGCCTTCAATGGCACCGAATAGTTCTTAGCAACACCTGTTTGTGCAGACTTATTATTTTGGTCAGGATACAAGGTCAGGGTCTATAGATAAAATATATTTTTCCATATGTGTATGTGCATGTATTTTACTTTTAAAATATTATTTTCTTTATACTCATGTATAAAAATGACTATACTGTCATGTATACAGATGTGCCAATATTTTTAGAAATATATTTTTATTGATTTCGGAGAGGAAGGAAGAGGGAGAGAGAGATGGAAACATCCATGGTGAGAGTGAATCATGGGATGGCTGCCTCCTGCAAGTTCCCCATTGGGGACCGAGCCCACAACCCAGGCATGTGCCCTTGACCGGAATCGAACCTGGGACCTTTCAGTTCACAGGCCGACGCTCTATCCACTGAGCCAAACTGGCTAGGGCCAGATGTACCAGTATTTGAAGCAGTTTAATAATGAATCACATCTAAATTTAAAAAAATGCATAAACATTAAAACACTGATTGGTCATATAGAAAGCAGAGTGGGAGAAAAACAAGCATTAGCTTTCATTTTCATTTTTATTAAAGAGAGGCTCCCTTTGAGAAGGATCAAATCGGTTAGTAATAGTCATCTATATTGCAAAATAATATATGCTTGAGAAAGTTAAAGTCTCACGTGCTGTAGTCACTTGTTCCCAATGAGGCATCTCCGCTTCTTTTATGATTGATTCTGTTGGTATAAAATAATGTTTTACATTAGTATGATTACAGTGATAATCACTTATTAATTTATAACATTAGCATGATGAATATCATTATTAACAGAATAGTAAAGGCTTATTTTAATGAAAAAAATCATTTTCGTGTCAGCTGACAGCTATGTTACTCTCTTATACAGAATTTTTGCTATTTCCCCCATCTCCATGAATTCAACCCAAATCCTATTAGCATGACCTTCAAGGTGTCCCAAAATTCATGCAAGAAGTAATTTTGATAGAAAGCACAGGTTTATAATTAAAAATTGTAAATTTTTTATTGATTCATAAAGTATACAGTATAGGTTTATGTATAGAATAGGACATCGGGTAAATGACCTCCACGGCTTTGCTGGCACATACGCAAAGCCATGGTCTTCATTGTCCCTGCTCCTGGGCCATCATTGGTACTTGGTAATGCTTATCAAATTGAAGGGATTGAAATCAAAGGGCAACAGATATTAGAATCTGATTCAATAAACCAAGTAGAATTAGGCTTTTATTTTTTTGTTGTTGTTGTTAATGTTCATGCAAAATTCAAATCTTGTGTGAGTTTTGGGACACCCTTTACTTCACTAGTCCAACCTCCCCATTCATTGCTCCGCCAGCAAGGACTTTGCCGTTGACTTTTCTTCCCTGGTTCTGTGCCCATTTAACATCATCCTATGTCCCTAAGCCACTAAAATTATTTTAATAACTGCACAACAATATATCATATGGGTATGCCATAATTTATGTAACATCTCCATAGTATTGATTTTTAAGATAATTTGCAGTTCTCTGATATGATGAGTAATATTATAAAGAACATTATTGTTCTGAATTTTTGTCACATCCACAGATAGATGTTTGGATAACTTTCTGACAACCTGAAAGTATGCTTAAAATAGCCACTATTGCGGACTCCTGCTGGCCATAGACACCTGTGACAGCTAAGGGACCCCTGGGCAGTGCAAGGAGGGAGGAGAAAAAATGGTGACAAACCTATTACCCAATGACTTTCCATCCATAGTGCTGCCACCTCATCCACCAGCTCAAAAGCTGACTTCCTGGGTGGATTAAGCCTGGTCCTCTTAATGGCCACTCTGGGAATGACCTGGTTTGGAGGCCAAACAGCCCTTCCCTTTGGGATCCAGTTGGCATATTTGATAAGGTCCCCCTAAGGACCCAGTACATCCCTTGCTCCTGTCTGACTTTCATTTTTATTTTATTTTAGTGCATCCTGCCTCCCTCCCTTCCTCCCATCCTCCCATCCTCTCATCCTCTCAGCATACGCTATGGACCAAACCTGTGTTTGGTGGTGAATGCGCTCTGGCCCCGCCCTAAAGACCTGAGCCTCCTCATGTGTAGGACAGAGAGTCAAGATTATACCCAGATCCCCAACGGTGCTGTTTATTTCAGCGACTGCCAACTATTTCCTGTGCTTATGTTTTGCTGTTTTCTCTTACCTTAGGGGAGGTACATTATCCATACCCATCTTCCTCCCCTTTGCCTCCCCCAAGATGTGTGAGTGCACACGTTCCTATTTCTCTAAAATGCTCTGAACTTCTAGACAGAAACTGCTCTTATTATGGCCACGATTAGCATCATTATTAATAATCTAAATAATACCAGGATGACCAGCAGCACAGGGCTCACATGATTATTAGACCTCTTTTTATTATGTCTTCAGCATCACCCAGGGGGTGCTCAGAAAATTAAAATCCGCTCATAAGAATGAAGAATAATTAAAATAACACCAAGAACAATAGAAACGGGATGACAAATATTGAAAAACTAAGAAAACATAACCAAGGGGCTAACTTCACGGCGACTGGTGCTAATAAGATCAACAAGGGGAATATGACACCATCCTTCCCCAAGAACCTGAAAATTCCCTCCTTCATGCTCTGTGGTCTCTGCCACTCAGGTCTCAAGAGGTGCTAGATTGTGTAACACCTATTTAGCTGATCCTGACAAAAATATGCTGCCAGGAGGCAAAAGATGAAGAGAAAAGAAAACTCTTTCATTACAAGCATCACACTGTGGACTCTTCGCCTCTGGCTGGACGCTGACAAAGCTCCTAGGCCTTCTCCACCCCCCGCCCCACCCCCGGGTCCTGTTCAGGCTTCAGGGACCTTAACAGAGACTTCACTTCCCCCATGTCCTATGCACCCTTGTAGGCTTTGACCTTCAGTTTCTCTATCTGAAAAATGGGTATCTTGGTCAGACGTACAACTCAGGAGAAAAGCAAAGTTAAATGGTTGTTTCTAAGCAAAACACATACAGTAGTCACGTGGCAGTCCTTCTGATGAAGCATATAGGCCAGGGGAGGGCAACCCTGGCACGCGTGCCAAAAATGGCACGCCAGTAACTTTTGCTGGCATGCAAAACCCTCTCTTATAATCTTCCATTTACAATTTTTTTCTTAATATCGACTTTTTATTTTTCAGATAAATTCAGTGTAGGTGCATCTTAGATAAATAATTTTACATAACATGTATACATTAAAGAATAAAGGCATTTTTCATCATCATATACTGTGTTTTGGTCGCTCAAATTAATTTTATTATTTCTTCAAGGTTCTTCACATACCTACACCTTAAGAGATATCAAGTAGGCATAACATGCTCTTAAAAAAATTAGGGTTGGCACGCAGAAGAATTTTGAGTCAGAGATTTTGCTGGTTTTGGCACGCACTCACACAAAGGTTGCTCACCCCTGGTATAGGCATTATAAACTCAGATGGGGTGGAATTTTACTGTCTGAAACCAAACCAGGTGAAGAAGGGAAACAGCTAGAACAGGCAAGTTTTGTTTCCTGGACGCCATGTTACCTTTACTAGACACCAACTCACCACCTGTGTTCACACGGTGCTGGGCGGGTTCCTCGGGGGCTGTCCTGACCTATGACTCAGTCGCTCTTTCTGTTAGTCTTGTGTCTGAGGCCAAGGTCATTGGACATACATGTCTGCAGGGGACAGAGCACTAGAGTGGGAGTCAGAGGCCATGGCCACTCCTTAGGGCTCCCCTCCTGAGATGAATATTCTGCGTGTTCTTGAGCCACTTCTGGGTAAATGGTCAAAGCAGTGTGACCCTCCATACATCGCTCCTCTCCATGTCTCAGCTTCCTCATATAAAATAAGTAAATAAGGGTATTGGGTAAGCTGTCCTTCCAACTCTGATGTCATTTCTGTTACTTCAAAGATGGAAATGAAGAGCTGGGAAAGGTGGCTTATCTAAGTTGACATGCCCGATGGACGCTGAGCGAAAGAACCCTGTGATGCCCGTTCTGGAGTCCAGTGTGGTCTTCATGTCACCATGTATCCCAAATGCCATAAGATAGTTAGACCTGTTCCTTTTTTAATTTATCTTTATTGTTGAAAGTATTACAGATGTCCCCTTTTTATCTCTGTTGTCCCCCTCCCCTCCACTTCTGACCCAGGCCTTCCAGCACTATTGTCTGTGTCCATGGGTTATGCATGTATACCAATACGTTCTTTGGTTAATCTCTTCCCATGGCCTCCCTCCCCTCTGAGATTCTACAGTCTGTTCCATGCTTCCATGTCTCTGGATCTATTTTGTCCATCAGTTTATTGTGTTCATTAGATTCCACATATGAACTCTGTATGGACACACACGCCTTTAGTTGTCATCTACCTGTCTGACAGTCTATTTTCCTGCTCACAGGCTAAAGGTACTGAGCAGATAGTCTATTAAGGGACTGAGATTGGCCTTGTCTGCCTGGCTCTACCTGCATGATGCCAGGCCCCAGTCGGAAGGGGCAGGAGGCTGCCCCCCACCTCTCCCTCTCTCCTCCTCATATCCATCAGCCCAATGCATTTCGCTTTCTGTTCCATCTCATTGGACACTCGATCAGGCCCTGAGATGTTGTCTGTCAGCCCCTGAGATACAGTCTGGATCTGCCAAAGCCTCTCACTCCTGGCAAGGGAGCCAAGGACACCATCACGGAGAGAAAAACAGGCAGATGGTTAGTGTAGCTCAATTTTGTTCAAATAGCGCCCCCCTGACTTCTCTTAGGGTGGCCTAGAGAAGAGGAGGGGAGAGGGAGGAGAAGGATGGACAAGGGGAGAGCTGTCCCCCTGCCTCTATCCTGGCAGGAGGTGTGTCCTTCTTGGTTAAGAATCCAGTGTTGATCCATCACAGTCTCATGAATCAGGCATGTACTTTTACAAGGAGCCATGCTGATCGTGTACTTTTACAAGGAGCCATGCAGGCCCCGGGGTGCCATCCTCGGCGTTTCTATGCTGGGAGCAGTGTCACTACAAGGGGCGGATCATGGTGACCGTCCTCAGGAAGTCTGAGCTCTTACCTCCTCTTTCCCGTGGGCACGGCGCTGTGGTCTATCTAGGAAGGTGCTGCTTCTGAGTGGCAGGTGTCCGACCCATGGTGTCAGGGAGGGGAAGGGAGCGCCACTCCCTGGTTCCCATGTACCTGTGTCGCTCAGTCAGCCCCACCAGGAGGCCACTTGTCAGGGGAGAAGAGCACCAGCCATTTGGTGCAATAGGGGCAAAGGAAGGAAAGAGGTGAGGGGTAGGGGGTGGGGGTGGTGGCATGGGCTCTAGGGGAGTAGAAAGGGGAGGGGCAGAGCTGCTGGAGCAAGAGGGGACCCGCCCCCTTCCAACCACAGGACCACAGCCTCAGAGATCATGGGAACCTTGGTCCTGAAGCTAGGCCAGCCCATTTGTTCCGCCCCACTTCTCAGGAGAGGAGAAACCAGTCATGCTATTGGTTTCCCCGCGCCTCTATTTTTATCCGGCGTAAACTGTGTTGATTTTTCAGCATTTCCTTATTTGTTATTATATTTGCCCTCCAGAGCTCTGGGAAAAAAAAGGCATCCGACTTCATTTCGCTTCTCCCCTCCTGATCCCGGGAAGATGAATAGGTCTGGGTGTGTGATGTCTGTGCTCACGGCTGCCTTCCCCCCTTTTTCTCTTCTTTATGCGGCCCCTCGGCCTCCCCAGCCCCCGCTCCCACCAGTATCTTTCCCTCGGAATCCGATCCTTGATTTTGCCTGGAGTGAGGCAGGGAGGTGGGGGAGTCCCCAGTCCCCTCAAACTCAGTCAGAAATATTAATGCCACCCCAGGCCCCGGGGTGCCATCCTCGGCGTTTTCTCTGCCTTGTCCAACTCGGTTTCAGAAGTTAAATGGCTTCTCTTCTGATATGAAAATTAATTTCTGGACAAAGAGAAATACGGCTGCACAGGGGCCCAATTTGTGTTGTCTCGCAGCACGGCTGTAATTACACTGTAGATCAAGCTGACTCCTCCGTTTCCACCGGCTTTTTCCCTCTCTGCTGTCCCCGAGGCTGCCCGGCTGGCCAGCAGCGGCTTTCATTAGCGGCCGGGTAGGGGAGAGCGATGGATGGGCTGCACTGGCCATCATTCCTGGGTCTCTCTCCTCAGCTTGCGTTTCTGGATGGACACGTGCAACCCAGACAAACGCAGGTGGGCCCCGGGGTGGGGTGAATGGCAGTGGCGATGGGCGGGACTCCCATCCTCTGGTCTGCAAACTGCCAGTCTCCGGCTCTGACATGTCAGCCAAGAGGGTCTGACACATGCCCCACGGCCTCTGCACATTCCCCTCACCCTCCCACCGCACAGAAGTCTGGGCGCACCTGCTAAAAATGGTCACTATTGGCATCAAGCTAAGAACTTGTGAAATAGGGCAGAACCAACGAGAAATTTTCCATGTAGCGAAAGGGAAGTGACTTTTATGCTGGATTCAATATTGTGCATCCTAGAGTATGTCCAGAAAAAACATGGCCTAACCAGTGGTCAGCAAACTGCGGCTCGCGAGCCACATGTGGCTCGCGAGCCGCAGTTTGCCAACCACTGGCCTAACCTCACACCCCAGCTCCCAGAGCGAGTTCTCCATCGTTTGCTGGTAAAATTACTCACCAGCACCTGTGGCCCTATGGGTGCCATCTGCTCTGCCAACAAACCATGTATTATTCTCCAAAGAAGCTCATCTGATTCTGACGCCTACAGGGCGAGTGTGCACTCTTTGTTCACAAATGGGGCCAGCATCACTTCACGTGTTGGGTGCAGTGCTTTGGGTGTGGAGAGAGGAGTGTGCACACACACACTCCACAGGTTAGAGTCAGCCTGGGAGGTGCGGACACTCCCATCAAAGGAGCGAAAGCTAAAGAATGCGATTCCGTGTTCTCTCCGACTGAACTGGGCGCCAAGGGATGTGGGCCAAACCCCTGCTGCCCCCACTGACCCGCGGGCCATTGATCTCATTGCTGCATCTGCCCATTGAGGTTTGGGTCTCTCCACACGGGGCTCCAGCAGTTCAGAGATGGTGGAGCTTCAGTGTCTGGGAGGAGTAAAAGTTCTCTCTCACACCCCATCCCCACAATTCTTTTTCAAAGGACCAATATTCATAGGGTCTTGACTGCTTTTGAGAAGTTAAAAAAAAAGTTTGCTTTGTTACAAAGGATAAAAACAAAAAGTGTGTTTGGGAATCAAGCATTTTGAGGTTCAAATTCAAAACGTATTACTATGGATGAGCTATTTGACCCCTTGGGATGTCATTTTCCCCAAATCTGAAAAGTGGGAATAATAATACCTCCCCTACATCAATGCTCTTTCAACAAGGAGAGCAAATGGTCATTGTGTCTGAGCTGCTGGATGGCCTATGACAAACCTCTCATCACACACACGGGCCTCAGCTTGCTTTCCTTTGCCTGTTATCCTGTCCTTGGTGATGCCTACGGAGGCCTTTGACAATCAGCACAGCTCAGCGCCAGGTTCTGACACCTGCCAAGCCACAGGGCAAGCTGTCACTGGCTTCCGGGACAGAGATGAGACGCAGGGGTCCCATGCAGCCTCCGGTCCTGGTTAGAGCAGAGGTTCGCCAGCGGGAGAGGAGGACTGTTACTGTGTTATGACCAGCCCCGGGTGGGGAAGTCCAGGTGCCAAAGGCTGCCTGGGGTTCTCATTTCTCTCCACCCTTCAAATAGAGTCAGAGGCAGAATATCTGGCTGAAGTGAAGACCCTGCAAGAACCATGCGTGAGGGGCTCAGATGAAAAGGAAACACTAGTAATGGGTAGGAGCCTCCAGGCCTAGCGTCTGAGACCCAGGAGTGGGACTGACTATCTGACCTGTGGTTTCATGGGAACAGAGACATGGTTTGGGAGTCAAGTGTGTGTTTGAAGCCTCGCTTTGATGTGTGACAGCAGAATGCTGAGTAATTACCTTTGTCACTGGCCCTCAGTTTCCCCCCGTCTGTTGCAGCAGTAGATACCACCCCGACCGCTCACGGGGCTGTGCCGTGTGGCTGTGCAAACCTCAGCCCTGTGTCTGTCTCTGGGTCTCCAGGAAAGCTGCTCACCTAGGGACACCTCAGTTTCCACATGTGGGAAAGGAGGAAGACATATTGCCCGTCTCAGGGGCGTCCTGAGGATCAAATGACAGGAGGCCCACAGTACCTGCCGTAATGAATACTCAGCAGGCATCTCCCTTTTCACTAATAGGTGGCTATTATTAACAGTTTCATTATTTTATGATGGTCACTTATTACGCACAAAAAAAGATAGTTTGTACCTACTCTGTAGACTAGACTTGGGCGCTAATGAAGCCACCTGTATGTTTTAAATGGCTTATATTAAAATCCCTAGAAATTTTTCATTTTCTGAAAAATACGTTTGATTCTAGAATTTCCTTCCATGATTTATATCCTCTATCCCTCTCTCTCTTTCTCTTTCTCTCTCTTACCTCTCTCTTTTACACACCTCTCTCTCTCTCTCTCTCTCTCTCTCTCTCTCTCTCTCTCTCTCTCTCTCTCTCCCTCTCTTTCTCTCTCTCTCCCTCTTGCACTAAAACAGAGCTGCAGGCAGTCAATTTCAAGTCAGTGGGCTGTGAAAAGCAGCTAGAATAATAGTTGATTGACCCTGACTGTGGCAGCTGGAACTGAGGGCAGGCCAGGCTCTGCTGGAATATAATCGTCATAATGGATGTTTCGTCGTCTTTGATCATTTCCATGACCTTTAAGACACGGGATGTTTGCAGGGAACCGGGTGAGCACTGCTAGAGGACCCCCATCCAGGGGAGACAGCCTAGCCCAGGGAGGGCTGGGCCTGGGTGGGAAGCACACAGGTGACTGATGGCGAGGGTGCGCTCACCTGTGGGTGTGGGCTCTCCATCACTGCGGAGGATGAATGTGTGAGCTCTGAGGAGGTAGTGCATTTCACAGTGATGCGAATCCCTAATTTCAAATATACCAGGGCCACACAAATATGTTCCATCTTTAGAATCTGGGATTTTGCTCCTGAATACTGACCTGCCTTCTTCATTCATGGAGGTGATCACAGACTTGGTGATGAAAACATAATTAGAAAGCAAACAGATATTTAAGCTAACTTAATATTTCAGTATTGTGAACAGCTTGTTGGCAAGTGGAATTACAAATAGACAATAGTGGAAAGGCAAGACTAAGAAACTCAAAGAGAAAGTGGAGAGCATGGAGAAGTTAATGATAGCCCAGACTGCCTAACTTGTGGGTTAAATGTAGCAAAACAAAATTAGAATTTAGAGTCAACTAATCTTAGCTATAATAATACAAGAGTAATATGCTAATTAGACCGGATGTCTTCCAGATGTCATTCCGGACATCCTTCCTGACCAAGCCGGGGTGGAGAGAAGCCAGCCCGGGTCCTGGGTGCCTGCAGGTGGCTGGAGGATGGAAGCCCAGGTCCCAGGTGCCAGAGGGAAGCCGGTGCTGGCGGCCGGGGAAGGAAGGCCTACTCTTGCACGAATTTTCGTGCATCAGGCCTCTAGTAAATTTAATAAAGACACTCAACATATGTAAATTCTGGGAGAAATTTTGTGGTGACCTTGAGAAAACATTTCTGAATAATAGCATGCTACCTCATTCTATAAGCTACCGCTTGCTTGGTTGTTTTTAGATTTATTCATTTTGTGATCATTCGGTTCAACTATTTATATTGAGAAAAACACTATGTAAATGATTTTTTTTTTCTTTTTGAAACAAAACACTAAAACAACCAAAGAGCGCATGAGTATCTTTGGGTGTCTGTAATCTAAATTATGGTATAGTTTTTCTCTGGAGCTAGAGAAATAACCTATGTGAATTACACAGAAATTGTGATTTTAGCCAAGCTGTTTCCAATATTTGATAAAATGGCACTTAAATCAATTTAACCATGTTGTGAGCTCGGGGTAAAATATGTGCGAGGGGGAGCATACATTATTTACTTTCATTTAATTTATTTCCATTTAAAGCAGGGGAGCTCGTGGTAAACAGACTGGTCCGCTAGAAAACAATGGAAGTAGAATTGATTGCTTTGGGAGAAATAGAAAGAAAGAACCATGTATTCAAGTAGCATAGAATCTAGGTGACGGGTGAGGACAGAGAAATGAAATAATAGTTTGTTTTTCATGGCAACAATTCAGCAAGCGTGCACATGAAATCTGTATGAACCGCATGCCTACGTGCCGCCTGGGTCCTGGGGAGGCGTGCCCACAGGCATCTCTGAGGGATGACACAGGCTGATAGACTCAAGTTGACTTTTTCAATGTCAGTGCATTTACAAGAAACCCTCTGAGGGCTTTAGCTTTTTGCTTGATGGTTCAGTGCAATTATTGCAAGAGGGGAGTTCAGAGAACATATCTTTGTCTCCTTTTCTTTCCTCTTATAAAGTGATCAGTGGTTTCAACTAAATTTTTCCTAGCTGAGACTTGGTGGTAATCTCCCAGGCCTGGGCCTATGTTTTCCACTTAACAAGTTGTTTCTTTATTTCTTTATCGATAAGCCTTTCCTAATTGTGTGTTTCACTGGTTATTATTAACAAGGTGTTTTTGTTTTGTTTTTTAAATTCTAAAAATAATAACTCTTGGTTAGGATATATCCATTCTGATATCTGGTGGTTATTGAAGAACTAATTTTGATAGAGATAAAATTGAAGAAGAACATAAAATGTAAAGGCCATAGTATGATGTTTTTCCATTTACAAAAATTTTCTTAAAAAATAAAGATGTTGTTTTCCAGAAATGAGATGTGGCAAAACAAGGTAAAACCAAACAAGATACAATGCTAATCCTTCATGGGCTCTTCCTCAGAGGGGTAATTTGCTATGTAGGTTTTAAATTAATTAAGGATCATGGAACAGTTACATTGAATTGCCATGTTCAGAGTCCCTACTAAGTGTTCCATCAGAATGAAGGCATATCAGATTGATGACTTACCCCAGTCTTCAAATATATTTTATTTGCAAGCCACTGCACCTTCGAGAATTTTCCCTCTACATTTCAAGGAGAACAAGCAAAAAGACTGGGACATAGTGGAAACAGATGTTCTTATTTTTCTGAGAATGTGTACATCCCTCGTCATGGTCCAGATAAAGTAGGGCTTTGTGTAGAATAAACATGTCAAATTCGCCGCCTACCGGCCACATGCCTCGTTTATTTGGCCCGTGTTAGCCTTTGAGTTTGACGTGCTTGGGGCAGAGCTGTTGTATCCAGGGCGATGCCCCAATACTGAGAGTGTTCTTCCGTCTGGATTGGTCATCCCCACACTCAGACCAAATGGACCCTGTGGTCATTCCTACTTCCCTCATGGCATATTCTGTCTCTAATAATCTGCCAGCATCTGATTGGTTCTTAGATTGAAAACTACATGTTTTTGTTTACGCTTAGAAACTCTTAACATTCTGAAATTAGCCCGTATCTCAGAAGCAGGTCCTATTGTGCTTCCTACTTTGAAGATACTGACGTTTCTGTCACTTGAAGCAAATTCCGTCACCTTCCCTGATGTCCCCCTTCTGTGAATCAGAAGTAATTTAATTATTTCTTAACTGTAAGGAGCCACTGAGAGGATTGATTTGTTAATGTTTGTAAACTACTTTAGGTATGTGAAGTGCTAAGTATTATTAAATTCCATACCAATAAAACTGCAATCCGGAACCTAAAGGGAATGAATAATTGACTTTCTTCTTATGAGTTTATAATACTTTAGCAAATTTACCAAAAAAGGTGTTTTTTCCCCCATCTAAATCTATATAGAGATGATGTTTGTAATACAGAACATGCAAATCAACCCCTTCTTCCTACTCAATAAAAACATGAAAGAACTGACTACCATTAGAAGCAAACTAAGCTGTCCTGGGGGAAAGTTAGCTCCCGATGTCAAACATTGCTGGCAATTTCCCCTCCACGCAGCCTGCAGACAGCCTGTGGAGAAGGTAAGAGGCATCCAGAAGTCTATTAAGGAATCCGATATGGATTAGACAATGAAATGCTAAAAACCAAGACTTCTCTAACTGGGTTGTTTTCTGGACTCTGACACAATTGGGTAGATAAACACAACAGATTTGCCCTTAAGCCCAACTTCTTCTGGACACAGGAATTGAGTATGAAACTGGTTAGCCCAAGACACTCAGATCCGGCTATCCTTTGTTCCTCTGACGTCATTGTAGGGCGGTGCGTCACGCCCAGCATTGACGTCATGCCCGGATTGCTGGAAAGCTCACACATCAGACCGCCTGGGCTACGGGCTACACGTGTGCTTATCTCCTGGGCGGATGCACACACGTTGCCTACTGACCCAGCGTATTCATGTCTCTGCAGCACACAGATCTATTCATATGAGCACAACCCACAGCTGCACACTCTCCAGGAGGAGGCAGATAGCACGCTCAGTGCCCATCTTGATCTGGGAAATTATACCAACCAATTACTATAACAAAGACTTGACAATATGCCCAGTGATGACTCAGCTGAAGCCACGCCCTCTATTCATAAGGGGGCGCTCCTCTCTAGACAGTCCCTGGCACACAGCCCCGGGCACTGCCACGGGGTGGTGCCCACTTACTCTCTAGTTGATGATGCTGCTAGAAGCCGCTTTGTGGAGTTACAGCCTTGGGTGACAATGATCATTGCTTGTGTCATAGCAGCTGTATTTCCTGGAGCTGTTCCTATAGGATTTGAAGGATTCCTAAAGGGAACAGAGGGTCAGTTCTGGGGATTAGGTGGCCTTGGGTGGGGTGAGGGGAGGGTTGGGGGTAGAGGGAGCCTGGGCCAGGTCAGTTAAGGGCTCGGCCCCTCAGGCTCCCACTCTTTTAAATCAAGAGAGTTATTCAAGCTACAACTACCTTCCAGGATAAGGCCAAATATGATGGAATGACTGTGAAGGTGTCAGAAATTCGAAAGCTCTAGGAAAATACAGTTGGTGGCTGAGAAGCACTATGTCTGCTAGAACCAGAGCCTTCACCCGGCTTAACCATGCCTTGGGCGCCATGGCTCCATCCTAAGGTTCCCTAGAAGACCTCTAGTCCCTACAGAGAAGGAGTACATCGGTTGCACTGAAGTAAACTCCCCCAGGGGGCAGAAGAAGCCCTACGTTCTGTCCTTGTTGAATTTCACCAAAGGAAGCATTTCAAGGGAGTGTGCTCATTCTCTGATCTGTGCCCTCTCTGCTGGGCCCCTAAGCCCTGGGCTTCGGGGTGCAGAGGACAGAGCACTGCGGGGAGCTGTGAGGGATGGGCCCCTCCACCATGTTCTGTGCTTACCCATCAGCCAACGTTTCCGCTGCCCTCCCTTTAGGAGTCTTCATACTCTCCTGCTCCTATGGGTAATCGGAAGGCCCAGGTAAGTAGAGACAGTGAGAATCCAAAAAAACTTCCCTCAGAAGGTGACTTTCAGGGTTGGCGAGATTTAATTTATGTCTCTGTGGCAACCATTGGGGACGGACATCTTTCACAGAGCTCCTTGGACAGGATGGGGACAAGTGAAACATTGCCCACTGGGGAGCTCGTGGTTGACTTGTATGTGGGCTGTGATGGAGCCCGTCGGCGTGGTGACAGTTTTACAGGGAGGGGGAGGGGGCTGCGGAGAGCAAGAAGACGATGCCCATGAGTGTGTTTCTTCCTCGGGCGCCAGCCTCTTTCTGTGCCTTCCTGATCCTCACGGTGTAATTTCCAGATCAGGATGAGCACTGAGCGTGCTGTCTGTCTCCTGCTGGACACTTTGCAGTTGTGGGTTTTGCTCGGATGGACAGAACTGTGCGTATGCAGAGACATTAATAAGCCTGAGCGTGTAATCACCTTTGTCTTCAATGGAGCTCGGAGTGTTACAAAGGCTCATTGCTTTTCCCCCTGCTTCAGACACTGAGAACTTAAAATCCTCTTTCATGAGGTTAGCGTCCCTTCAGAAAAACAATGACAATGATATCAACAAATCACTGTGACAAAGACTCAACAATATGTCCAGAGAGGACTCAGAGGACTGAGGTCTTAAGTTCTGATTCGACCACTCACTGACGCTCTCTAGTCGTTGTAGCCAAGTCACTTAATCTTAGAAGCTCAGTTTTGTTACCTGTGAAATTTGGGTAAAATTATCCAACCTGCTGTACAAATATGCGATGATTGTTATAAACATTTCCTGGAAGCCACTGCATCCTTGAGGAGCAGTTTACTTTTTGATATAAATATGCCAGAGGGAAACTAAGGCACAGATGGAAAATGGACTTTTTCTCACTGCAATCTATAAACTAACAGCTCCCCAAACTATTAATGCAGTCAAAACTCCTATGAGCTCAGAACTCCTGCATCAGGACGCTGGCTGCATAACTTACAGGCGCCCAACCTCAGCATCTCCTCTGAGATTTCCCTGCAGACCTTCCCCTCCCCCTGGGTTCCCGTTGCTGACACTTACATGGGTGCCGGGGACTGGACCACGGCCTGGTTTCCACTTCCCTGGGAGAGGCAGGCCTGGCTGAGCCCTTGCTTGTACTTCCTTCCCCTTTCTCACATCCATCTTGCTACTGATATCCCAGCAAAGCCCCTCTGGTGTTTCCACTAAAGGCAATTGCTTTCTTCGTGGGCTCTCCAACTCCAGTCTCCCCTCCCCCCACCCCAAAGTTATCTTCCACCATCTTGCCAGAGCTATGGATATAACATGCAAGAGAAACCGTATCACTCCTGATGTAAAGCCCCCAGTGAGTGCCCACAGGCTGCGGATCATCTCAAGCTTCTTCAGGATAAAGAGGCTCTTTGTCATAGAACCCTTCAACCACCAACCTACCTCCAGACCTACCTCTCATTCCAACTCCTAGTAACACCAAGTCATTTTCCCGAAAACCCATGAAACGCTCTTGTCTGTGCCTTTGGCATTCCCTTCCCTTTGCATAAGGTCCCTCCCTGTTTCCTCATCTGGCAAGCCCTCCCGCCTTCCCCCTGCCCCCTGCAAGGACATGGTGGTGACTGTGTCACTGTGACTGATGGTGAGCGCCCCACTGTGTTTGCCTCTGTCAGCTCTCATGGTGACTGTAGTCTGACCTGGTACATCTTTCTTAGCAGAATCCATTGATTGGGTTCAAAAAGTTCCAATGCTACTGTGGATATGAAATCATGGTGCCCTGGGTTCAATCATGGTTCAATCCTATAGGACAGCGGTTCTCAACCTGTGGGTCGTGACCCCTTTGGCGGTCGAATGACCCTTTCACAGGGGTCGCCTAAGACCATGCTGCATATCAGGTATTTACATTATGACGCATAACAGTAGCAACATTACAGTTATGAAGTAGCAACGAAAATAATTTTATGGTTGGGTCACAACATGAGGAACTGTATTTGAAGGGCCAGAAGGTTGAGAACCACTGCTATAGGAGAATATGTGTTTGGTCATGTAGCCACTCAGCTGTCTTTGCTAAGGGGTTTTTAATGTGCCAGGCACTGTAGTAGATTCTAGGCAACACCCCGGTGAAAGGATTCCTGGTCAGGTGTGCAGACTTCCCCGTGGTCCCCGGTAGCAGGGACAGTTCTGAGAATAGACTAGAGCAGCAGAGAATGTTTCTTGCCAGCAGGGGTCACTGCAGCTATCCAGACACCCAGACAGCTCCCATGAAGAGGCATTAGACTCTCTGTCTTGAATTAATACCACTCTAAACGTTTCCTATTTATATGTGAAAATTCACATCTCTTTCTGTTTGGGGACCAGGCTAGATCTATTCATTCTCCTTTAATGGCTTTGTAAACACTCTGGCTTCTGTGACCTGCTCCCCCTCCCCCCTCTCTCCCTGTATCCATTTATTGCCTCTTACTACATGGAGTGAGGAGTGATTTTTATTTTGATTGTATTCGTTTCCCATAAGGAGAGAGGCTCTGACTGAATAGTACATCGGTTCCAATGACTTTCTGTTTTAAGAATGTTCCCAGAGGGGTGCAATTCTTTTAATTTATTTAATCCGATGTGCTTTTGCAGAATCACTCTCCCCTGCAAAACAGATGGGAGGGGACTGTGCCACTACCTCTTTCTCTCTCTCCCTCTCTCCCTCTCTCCCTCTCTCCCTCTCTTCCTCTCTCTCTCCCGCCCCCCAGCCCTCTCCTGGTGACATGGGCTTCCTACATGAGTGGGACGTGTCCTGTGGGGCTGTGTTGGGCCACAGTGCAATGCGGAAGTGCTTCTCGAGCAGTGGGGTCCTTGACATCCGGGACCTTGGCTCTGCTCTTCCCTTGGGCCTGCCTCCTTGGCCTGCATCCTAAAGTAGGAACAAGGACACAGAGCAGCGCATGTCCTCAGCACTTAGAGCCACGGCCATTGCCTAGGAAGCATAACCTCTAGGCAATATAACAGATCAACAGTCAAAGCAGGAGTGGGCGCTGGAGAAGGTGGAATAGACACAGTCAACTTCATTTCCCCACGAAAGCTATTTCTGAATAAACTCACCATCAACAGCCATAAAGTCATCAGGAGCATGGGCTGACAGGTCACATGGCCCTGGGCTTGGGTCCTGGTTTGACCACTTCCTGAGACTGTGACCTTGGGCAAACTGACATGTTTAAGCCCCAGATTCCGAGCATATCATAAAGGAAGGACAATATTACCCACCTCCCAGGGCTTCTCTGCGGGGAAGTGACATAGAACTTGCAAATTGCTCAGCCCTGTGTCTGGCAGTAAGCATGCAGGTTATGCTCACATGTACAGAATGAACACTATAGGGAAATCATTCTTCTTGTTGGGGATGTGTCTGTTCTAGCACTTACATCTCTGCATCGTCATTGCTTTACATGCAGGACCACTTGACACTTGACTTTCTGCTTCCAGCTCTATAGGGCAGACAGAGGCTGAGTCATTGGTGGTCTCTATGTTGTTTTATTTAGGCAGGTTCTGTCACAGAATCGCAGCCCCGTGACTGCCCAATGTAAAGAAAGCTAGTAAGCTGTCCGTGACTGAAGGTCCGACTCCGGTGGCCTTAGGTGACAATCTGTTTACATGTGACACAGATGAAGCGCCAATTACCTTAATGTCTGTCCCTGTTTTTCTCAAACTTTGTCTTTCAGAATACCTACGTTGCATTCCTTTTTGAGAGAAACGTCTTTTTCTTTCATTCATGACCTAGGCATTGCCAACTTCGTCCAAGGCTATTGTACATGGTTGTTCAAACTGGACAGTAGTCAATCTGCACTTCTGTATGTGGTGGCCCTGAGTTTCCCTCAGTGTCCAGTTACAGGGAGACCCCAATGACATTACACTAAGCACCATGCACATGGCCACATACAGTGTATTTTTACTGTCTTTATTTTCACACTCCAGAAAAATGTTACTCTGGCAACAAGACTATCACCTCCTTCCCTGTAGTTGTCACTCAAGCTTTCTGTACAAGTTGCTGTGACAATTACAGGGCTCCTAGTCCTGCTCCCCCTCTACGTTCCCCACCCTCTGTTGGGTACCTCCATCAACTTAGCTGCTCAGGGAAGAGGCCCAGTAACCTCTTGACACTCCCTTTTCTACAGTCCTGTCACCTAAGTCATCACCAGATCTTGTGGATGTCACCTCAAAATTCATCTCGAACTCTTGCATTTCTACTTGTTCCTCCAAGGCCACACCTCATTCCCCTGCTTAACCGTTTGACTGCTAAGGAGCGCTATCGCGCTCTTCTTATTAAAAACAAATTTATGGCCGAAACCGGTTTGGCTCAGTGGATAGAGCGTCAGCCTGCGGACTGAAAGGTCCCAGGTTCGATTCCAGTCAAGGGCATGTACCTGGGTTGCGGGCACATCCCCAGTAGGAGATGTGCAGGAGGCAGCTGATCGATGTTTCTCTCTCATCGATATTTCTAGCTCTCTATCTCTCTCCCTTCCTCTCTGTAAAAAATCAATAAAATATATTTAAAAAAAAACAAATTTATGTAAACAATTGGTATTTTTTAATTTTTGTTGTTGCAAAGCAAAACAAGTGAGTTTATTGTATAAAAAGTGTTTTACATTTTTTCCCATACACACGCAATTAGTGCCGCAGTTTTGGCATATGTCCGAAAAAATACGTCAGCAGCCAAACGGTTAAACCACAGCTGTAGCCACTGACTGGCATCTCCATCTCAGCCTCATTCAAATCATTCTCATCCCTGGAGTCTGGGTGACATTTTGGGACTGTAACTTCCTTATCCTACATGCACTTACCTACCAGTGAATTTCCATTCCACTTAGAATCAATCCTAAATGCTTTCCATAATCTGGAGTGCTCTAATGCTTCCAGCCTTGCCCACCTCTGCATCTCATTACGTGCCTTTCTCCCCAGCCTCAGTATTCTCAACTCTACGGCTCTTCTTCAGTACTGAGGTAAAAATGTGGCTCCATCCCATCTTCACACATGTCTTTTCTCCTATCGGTAAGAATCCTCCCCTCCCCTTCCTCATTGCCTCCCTAATTCCTACTCACCCTACAGGGTATTTCAAATGTTCTTCTTCTAAGAAGGCTCATCTTTCACCTCCTAGTCTGAATTCGGTGGCCTCTATTATTTTCTCTTGGTGTGCTTTATTTATATTTCTCATGATACTTGTCACCATTTATATTCGTGTGTGTGTGCGCGCGCCCACGGTTAATACTTGGTTCAAACTCTGTACCTGGTAGGGATCATGTTTGTTATTTTTCATTTTATATTCAGTACCTGTAGCATAGTATTTGACCAAAAAGAAAAAAAAACATAGGTGCTAAAAAACTGCTTAATGAAAGAAGCCAACATTTTTTCCTGAATATTTTAAACTCAATTGACCTCAAGGAAATGCAAACCATCCCCACTATGAAATAGAACTACACAACACTTATAATGACCAATATTTTAAAAGCCTGACCAGCCCAGCCAGTATTGCTCAGTGGTTGAGCATCAACTATGAACCAGGAGGTTATGGTTTGATTCCCTGTCAGGGCATGTGTCTGGGTTGTGAGCTCCATCCTCAGTGGGGGGCCTATAGGAGGCAGCCAATTAATAATTCTTTCTCACCATCAATGTTTCTATCTCTCCCTCTCCCTTCCTCTCTGAAATCAATAAAGGTATAAAAATTAATAAATAAAAAGAGTGACCATGATAACCAAGTTTTAGCCAAAATGTGGGGCATAGGAACTAACATACACTGCTGGTAGGAAAGAAAAATACTAGAACTACTTTGAAAAGAGTATAACAGTTCTTTATAAAGTTAAACTTGTATCTACCACAAGACCCAGCCATTACACTCCTTGGCATTTATC